TGATCAGCACTGTCAGGAGAGAGACATACATAATGTGTTACTCCATTGGGACCTATCATAGAAATTCAACAAATTACAGACTGAAGCATAAAAAACAACTAAGAAACACACCTTAAGTAACTGGAACAGTTAACTATTTACAAGGTCAGGCAAACACATTTTTTCATCTGCCATTTTATAAATTCCATTTTTCAGGCAGTTTCCTTTCTAAGCCACCTATTTCCTGTGTTCAAATCCCCAACTTTTGCCATATAGTCCATGATGAAAAATTTGCAACTAGCTCCAAAGTGCTAACAACATCATGTGCAGTTTTCTCTGTGTGATACACACAGAGAAGTCCACTTACATTCCTAACAGGTGCAATAAAATCTGGTCCTTTGTGTATAACTGTAGGTGCTTTAGGACACAAGATAGTAAATAATATACATAATAATTTATGTTTATGTAAATGTAATATTAATGTGTGTATCACTTTTATAGCATATTATAAAAACTAACTGAAAAAAATATTGTTTATTAAGAACTATACAGATTTTTCCTTCACTTAAAAAAAAAAAAACTCCCTGCCACTTTCAGTACAGAGTTTTTCTTAAAAGTTGATGACACGATAAGGCTACAAATTATTTAGTGGTGTACTGAAGAAATCTGTCTCTTCTATGCTATCCTGTTGCTGAATCTCATACTTGCTCATTTTTAATATGTCTACTTGGCAGGTGATGTGTTCTCCTCCACATACAGTTATTCAGAATGTTATCAATCTCTGTCATTCTTATCTTGCAGCATTTCAAATTCACCATAACTGTGACGGAAGTTTTCTAAGTTGTTCTGCAACATACACAGTCTGTATTTAAAATTTTGCACTAGTGCCAAGGATTTCTCTCACAGCCTGAATATGCTGCCATGCCTACAGCACTGACAATCTTCCACAAATTAAGAATTTGCTAGAGACTGTTTCCCCCTGCCACCCCTTCACAGCAAACATATGAAAAGTTTAAATGGGAGCTGTAAAAGGCCTAGGAGTTTACATGACAGTTTCCAGTATCTCTCACATCCCACAGCCAAGCTAGAAGAAATCATGAATTTAGTACAGGTAGAAGGCATCATCATCTCTCATTCTAGGTATTCTACCACTGCATCATGCCGTCATGTTGTTGTGCCAGGACATTACTATACTGTATGATCATCGCATGCCATAATCATTTGAAGTAGAGGTGCACCAATACTTCAGTGCATGTCGTATCAGCACCAATAAAAGGAAAATTGACATGATCAGGAATCGGCTTTTTTTTGGCTGATGTGGCTGATAATGTTGCCGATAACTGCCACATGCATGTGTGCAGCTGCAGCATGCACACAGCCAGGAATGCAGCCCAGCAGCTTGGAGAGCAGTGTCCAGCCAGTAAGTTGGGGGCGGGGGCGAAGGCCCCAACAGTGAGGGAGGGCTAGGACAGGGGCAGGAAATGCCCAGCCAGGGCAGGGCATGGGATGGAGCCGACGGCTCATCTGGGGGATGCAGCTGCTGCTGCAGTGCGCACCCTCAGGGGAAATATTAGGGGGCACGTGCTTCCTGGATCTGTGCATGGGGTGAGGGTGGGCTGCCTGCTGTGTGCTCGGGGCCAGGGCTGCACTGGGATCTTCCCAGTGGCTGTGCTCAGGCTGGGCAGTGCTGCGAGGGGGGGCTACAGTGAATTTTGGGGTGGCTCTAGTTCCCCTCACAACTCCTCTCCCAGAACTGCTGCCTGCCCCACCCAGCCCGAGTGCAGCTGCTGGGAAGAGACTGGTGCAACCCCAGCCCCAAGCACAAGCAGACAGCACACCCTTGCCCTGCGCACAGATCTGGGGGGCATATGCCCCCCCCCATGCCTCTCTTGGGGGTACGTGCAGCAGCACACCATCTGGACAAGCCACTGCCTCTGTCCCATATCCTGCCCTACCCCCAGTACCTACCCCAGCCCCACTTCCTCCCTCACCACTGGGGCCTTGATCTGCCCTCCCCCACGCCCCTTCCCCCTCAACAGACTTACCAGCCAAATGCTGCTCTTCAAGCTGCTGGGCTGCATATCGGCAATCGGACTGCTATTGGCCGATATGGCTGGTCAATAACTGGCTATCGGTATCGGCTCAAAAAATCTTTATCGGTGCACCCCTAATTTGAAGCAATGTTGCAACACAGAGCAACACAGCGCTGCAATATCCTTGTGACAGATTGTTTGTGCTCCAGGATTAAGGTAAAATGATGCCAATCCTTGTCCTAAGAGATGAGTTGTTATTCTAAAGGTGAAAGTATTACTTCAGTTTCTATAGCATATTATTGTGCATAAAGGATGCAACCGCATTTTCCAGTCCATGTTTTATTATTTATCTATTACCAGATTTATCACAATTAAGTGGATATTTGATATTAAGTTGAATGGATTCAAGATTTCATTCATTTCATCAGTAATTCACAATCTTGGGCCAGATTCTAATCTTTATCAAACCTATGTAATTCCAGAGTCCTAGCCATGGACTCTGTGGTGCTATTTTTACAAATTTAACGACACACATATGGACTCCAAAAATAAAAGTGACAAGATTTCTTAAAATATATGAATGAAAGGTATCTTACACATTTTCTCAGTGTTTAAGAATTATCATCCTGGATGATTTTCTACACAGCAAAAGCTCACCTTCTTAATGTGACACTGGCTTAAATAATTTTCAAGACATTTCAGCACCATCTGACTAAAACTGGCATGGGAATGTCAAATGGGCAAGCGTACAACAGTACTACTAACAGGAACTTTTCAGTGATTTCTTACCTTGCAGAAACATTGGTGAAATGCATATATGATGATATCACTATGCCTATCCTTCCTTTTCCACCCTGTATTGGGAAAACAGAATATTGTTTTATGATCATATGGCACCAAAAGTGTATCTGGTACTCTACAGAAATAAAAGGCACCCACTCCAAATCTATCTATACATATAGCACACACAGTGGTACAGTACCTACTTCAGGGATTCCACTATATTATATGGAAAAAGATGTACATATAATAGATGTGCACCGATATATTGGTCCATATCATATTGGAACTGATAAAAGGAAAATTTACACAATCGGCTTTTTTTGGCCGTCATAGCCAATAAATTCATCTATAAATGCCGCATGCATGCGTGCAGTTACAGCATGCATGCAGCCAGTTGGAGAGCAGCATCCATCCAGTAAGCTGGGGGGGAGGAAATCAAGGCCCCCATGGTGAGGGAGTGAGTGGGGCTGGGGCTGGGGCAGGAGCAGAGGCAGGTGCTGCCCAGCCAGGGAGGAGTGGGGGATGTAGCCATGGGGAGGGTGGGGAAGGGGGATGGATCCCCGCCACTGTGTGCACCCCCGGGGGAGCCATGGAGGCCATGTGCCCCCCAGGTTTGTGCGTGGGCTCAGGGCCAGGAGCTGCGCTGCCCTCTTCCTGGTGTGGGGGGGTTGGGTTGGGTTGGGCCGGGGCAGGGCAGGCAGCGGCAGCACTGGGAGGGGGGCTACAGCAAATTTTGGGGTGGCTGTAGCCCCCCCTGTAGCCCCACCTCTCAGCACTACTGCTGCCCACTTCACCCCACCCACCCTGAAAATCTGATTAAACTTTAAAAAAGTTAAACCAAAAAAATTCCTTTAATCAAAACCCATGAATCAGTTTCATTTCTCTGTTTTTTTTTTTATTACTCCTTACAGTAGAATATATTTGTTATGTACATGGTACAATTTTATAGCAAAGCCAACCAAGCTCTAAATTAAAACAAAGATAACCATGAACAGTGGCAGTAACATTTTTTCGGTACTTTTTTGGCTCATCCAAGACAAGCCTAGACAAATTTGCAGTTTCTGGAATGATGTGCTCCAAAGTACATATTCCAGAAAGTACTTGGGGTACCCATACATGTGCTCCAGGGTGGGAAGAGGCCTTTAATTACAGTGGCTCTTGGAGCCACTAATTAACATGCCCACAGTGTCTCACGTGTTCAGCGTTCCATATTTCAAAATAGTGGTGGGGGGGGACTTAAACTAAAGCTTGTTCGATGAGCTTTAGTTAGAGCAGTGTTTCTTGACCTTTCAAGTAGCAAGTACCCCTTAACTTGTAAAAATTTTAATAAGTACCCCAACACTCAATTTTCCAGGGGATTTTATATTTAGACTAATGAGTGCCATATGTTGGAAGAAGGGCTGTTTATATAAGGCTGTGATATGACAGATGTCTGATCTGGTGTGGATAGGGTTGTCAACTTTTACACCAGGGGTGCACAACTCAAGTATGTACCTGGGCTAGAGGTGATGTAGGCCAAAGCTAGGAGGGCTGAATTATTACTGGGGAATTTAAAGTGCTGTGCAATATGCGGTGCACCAAATTTTTTGCTATAGTTTTGAGAGGAAAAGAGGGTAAGAGAGAGAATGTTAGGGTACCCACATATGCTCTGCCTGTGTCATGTACCCCCAGGGGTATGCGTACCACAGGTTGAGAAACTATGAGTTAAAGCACCCCCACTACCATTTTGAAACATGGGGACACTGAATACGCAAGACACTGCAGCACACTGGAGCATTCTGATTAATCAAAACATGTTGGAGCATGTGTAAGAGTGTCCATGGTTTCTGACAGTTTTTAGCATTTTTTTAGCACCAGTGATTTATAATAACTACCTCTCATTATTTATGGAGTATTTTTAAGATGTTTCAAAATCTTAACATGACATTTACAGTACAAATGATCAACCACTAATTCTTACTAGTTTTAACATGCTTCCTGACTACTCAGACAACAGATTTCAGCAATGTCTAAGAAGGATAGCAGTGGGAAGCTTTTAAGCCATTAAATAAGTTTGCCAACAATTATTCAGTGGTGATTTATATTTAATATTCATTGCCATCTTTTGCTTTTTATTTGAAGTGCAGTTATTGCCTTGGTCAAAATGGGTCCGTCAAAATGAATATATTTGCTTCCTGAGCCTCCTTATTCTGACTTCCTTTCTGCGCCATTTTTAAGGCTCAACCAACAACAAATCAAGATTTCCACACAGGTAATGTCTGCTCATATGCTACCAACTGTAGACCCAAAGGCCATGTTAATGGGAGTTTTGCCACAGACATCAAAGCCCATGCAATACTAGATGTATTTGCCTCAAGTGTCACCAACATATCTGCCAACTCAGTTAGGATCTCATAATTAATTGTTTTGTTTTTATTTAGATTGGTCTTTATTTCTCTCTGAAGCGAACAAATATTGAGAAGTGAAAACATTGCATAAGAATAACAGCACCTTAGGGCACTGCAATTATGCAGTCAGTTTCAACCTGCCTGAGCCCAGGAGGTATTGACTGCCCTCATTTCCCACACACTGCAACAGCAGTACAACAGAGTATTTGTCATGAACCCCACTATGAACGGCAGGGTTTGGGGGGGCATCACACAAATGCTCTGGTGTTTATATTTCACCAATATGGCTTGTGGTCTCATTGGGAAGACACTGTATCCATTTATTTCATGTTTATCACTGTTACATTATGCTGTCTGTTTATATCTTTATGATTTTGTATATGGTTTAGTCAAGGGATCAGAGAGAGACATATTCGGGAAAAGGGGGTAGGCAGAATGGCTAATTATCCCTTGCCATAGTGCCACTAGGATAAGAACTGCCACTCCTAGGCACAGGCAGGAGACCTTTTTGGGTTGGGCACTGTCTGCCTGCAATGGAAAAGTCAGCTCCTCAATAGTGAAATCATCTGAGAGAAATGGCCCATCAACCAGAGGAATGCCAATTGTCCCAGGGAGAGAAGTTTCGGGAGACTCATGATGAGGAACTGGGACAATGTTGACGAGGGTGAGTGCTGGCTTGGAGGTATTATAAGGGCTGCTTGTAAAGTGGCCAGGGTCTTTTGGAATTTTGCAGGCTGGAGAAGCATCCATGGTTGCAGCAGTCAGGGCTGGTAGACTAAGCAGCAAGGCTGATTTCTAAAAACACTGGCAGAACTCCCACAGGGGTGCTAAGTGGTAGCCAGTTGAGAAGGTATGAAATTTTACCTGTCTTTTGTTCTGTCTTCAAACTTATGGTCAGTTTTTCATGTACAAATCTTTTCTCCTACATTATAAAATCCTTTTGCTGTTTTGTCTCCTGACTTGTTTGCCTGTGTCACAGAGTGATCTGTGATATTCCAGACTTACTCACTGTACAGCAAGGGGAATGCAACATTTTTTCTGCAACGGAAAAGGCTGACAGAGACGCCCCCGCTGCATCTATAAGGTCCAGTACAAGAGCAGTGGAGCTGAGGCTTAGCGGGATAAGGAGTTATACCTAGACAAACCTTGGTCTATTCCTTGGGACAAGCAGTGGGACAGCAGGGAGATTCTTGGGGCTCTGGGGGGACCCTGTGGATGGGTTTGTGACAATTTTACAGTTCAAACGGATGGCATGTTGTATGGGATATTCAGCCAGGATGGGCCTAATACCCAAACAAGTGCATATAAACTCCATGATTAAATCCCAGAATGAAAATTAAGATGCATCTAAATACCCAATTTAGACAACTAATGATAGATTTGAACATCCAAGATCTACTGATCTCCAAGACTTGATGTGACCAACTGTCAGTGATTCTAAGTAGTGCTGAGAGCCCTTACAGCCCACTGAGGTCAGTAAACCTATCACAAAATGAGAAAGTTTCTTCAGAAGTTTGTTATAGAGATGGAAAATCTCAACACACTAAATCAGTGGTATTCAAACTATGGCCCACAGAGCTGAGTCATCTCACCTGTGGGGTTCCTCAGAAATCCGGAAATTTGGCAGCTCTGGGAGCCCAGTGACAACATGGCCACCACTTCCCTGCCACTAGGTTTCTGGATCTGTGGGGAGCCCCATGGACCCACATGCTGGACTGCGCCAGTGCACAGAGCTAGTTCTTGGTTTGAGTCAGCAGGCCCCAGATCACTTGCTGGCCCCAGATCCAGCAAGTGGTCCCAGATCTAGCAGGCAGGGTCAGTCTATGTATCAGATCTGGCCTGCGTACCTGGCCCTGCACACCAGATCCAGTCCATGGACTGGCTGCACCCCATTCATCCAGCCCATGAACAACTGGTTCCTCCCGAGATTAGGGGGCCACCATTTGGCGGCAAGTGGGGACCACCTGCAGCCACTGCCGGCAGTGTCGGTGGCGGTGAGTGGGGACTGGCTGTGCTGGCAGCGAGGGGGGTGGGTGTGGGTGGTGACTGTCCACAGAAGCCAGCAGCAGCTTTGGTGGCAGCCAATCTCAGGGGGGCATGTGCTGCGCCCCCCCACTCCCCCTGTGTCTGCCCTATGCATCACTTATGATCCAGCCTGCATGCCACAAAAGTTGAGCACCACTGCATTAAACATAATCAATAAAGAAATAGTACTCACTTTGGAAAAACATACCTCATTGCACATGGAGCCTAACTTTGAGTTTATTGGGTCAGATGCTAAGCCAGAACACCTGGGAGAATTTTCATGTGATGACTGCTAAATGCTAAAACTCCTGCTTTTTAAATATATATATTTTTTGGTAATAATAAGGTATTCAATATAAAAAATCATAGGGGCACCCAAATGCTGTTTACTCACCCTGCAATGAATCACTACCACATGCTGAGGGTCACTGTTCAACCATGACTCCATGGCCTTGCAAATGGTGCACAACTTATCCAGGGGAGGGGCATGCAAATCAGGCCACCCCACATCCATTATCTGGAATCAAAAAAAGCAATTTTACTTTCTATTTACAAATCCATCTCAACACTCTCACGATCTGACATAATACTACCCTGGGATATGTCATGGTTGTACAATGTACCCTCTTCCCCCAAAACAAAAGAATCTGTGCAGAACAGAATAAAAGCACAAAATCATTATTTAAAAATACCTTTTTGTTACATCAATAAAACATCTGCATGCATCTCTTAGAACAGAAGTATTTTTTTCTAACCGTACTAATTCACTTTAACTTTCCTGGCAAGTATGAAAAAATCTTATTCACACTAGCTCAGGGGCTGGCAACTTTTAACAACCCAGTTCAATGTGGGCTAGGTTGACTTTGGTGGTGTCAGTGGTGGGGGGCTTTGTGTTCAATCTGGAGGCCAGGCAGCTGTTTCCCCCAGCCCCTATTCCCCAGCTGCAGCAAAGGTGCAGCTTCCATCCACTGGGAAATTGTGCCAGGGCTGAGCAGCTGGAAGCTGCATCCTCACTGCAGCTGCCTATCCACCCCATCTCCCACCTATGATACAGCTCCCCAACCAGCTAGAAACACCACCTGCACCACAGCCCAGGTGCAGGGAGCTGAGGGAAGCAGCAGCAGCACAGGTGCAGCTTCCAGATGTTCAGTGCACTGCCTTATCATCTGGCCCCAGCATGGGCACAAGCACAGAAAAAGCCCTCTAGCTCCATGGACTGGATCTGGTCCACAGGCTGCGTTACCAACCCTTGCTCTAGCTGGTCAGACATTTTCTTAAAATTTTCTGTTGAAAAAGGCTGACTTATTGAAGTGGAAATGTATCACAAGAAAGGGCCAGTTCTGATAAATTTCCCATGGAAAAAAAAAAAAAGAAAAAAGTTAGGAATCGTCTCATTCTGACATTTTGAACTACAAAGTTTTGAGGATTATTTTTTTCTTGTTGTGCAAAATGATGCTTCATTTAAAAAACAGTAAAATCATTTTAAAAAGTCAAAATTGGAACATAAAATTTTGATCGACCTAGATCAGGGATCAGCAATGTTTCCAACCAGGGACTAGAAAAGGGTTGGGCAAAATATGGCCTGCCAGCTGACTGGATCCAGCCTGCGGGGGGGATGCCCACCGATTGATTGGATCCAGCCTATGCGTGTCCCCACAGTGCTCTGCATGGTGACCACCTGGGGCAGCCCGCGCCACTCCCCAGCCCACACCCACTGGCCCTGGTCCAGGCCAGCGTGCACAGCTCTGAGCAGGGCTGCTGCTAGTACAACTGCACCTGCCCAGGTGTTGCTAAGTTTCCCTCCCCTCCAGCAGCGCCTCCTCCTCCTGTTCCTGTTACGCTGCTCCAGGTGGGGAAGAAGCTTCAGCTGGCTGGCTCCTTCCCAGCATACAGCTCCTCAGCTCAGATGGAAACCTACTTGGCCAACCAGTGCCAGGCTGGTAAGTGTGGGCTGGGGTGTGGTATGGGCTGCAGTGTGGTGTGGGCTGCGTCAGGCAGGGTCAGCCCCATGTGGAGCACAATGGGAGCAGCCACAGATCGCACTGCCTGGGCAAACTCTGCTGTACAAACCCCCTGCCCCCTCACACCTAGGCAGCTCCTGGGACCTAGTGCCCAGGTAGCAGCCACCCACAGAGCAGGGGCACGCAGGGAGCAGATCGGAGCTCTGCCCTGGGTCCCACCCTGTCACTGCCTCACAACCCTGGCCTTGCCCAAATGTACTGCTCCTGAACACTGCTCCCTGACTACCCTTGGCCCCATCCCACACAGGGAGTTTTGGTGTGTTATTGCGGGGAAGGGGGGGGAAGGTGCTGATCTGGTCCACCATAACTCATCAAAACTCTCTATGTGGCACCCAAGCCCAAATAATTGCCCACCCCGGGCTAGAATGACCCAGCTCAGATATGAACAGGGTGGGCACTAGGACCCAGCCACTTCTGCTGCTTCTTCCTGGTTCCTGTCCACCAGAGGCCATGCTGCCAAATTGTGACACAGCATAGGGAGAGCTCCCCATTTGCTGAAGCCCTGGGTTCTCAGCTGTGGGGCAATGCTTAAGGATCTCCCCCTCCACTATAGCCACCAGTGCCTGGCAGAGGACCTTGCTGCTGAAGCCATGATTCTGGGGCTGAATCCAAAGGGGCTACAAGCTGGATTCCACCACAGGCCACACGTTTCTGAACCCTGATCTAGATAGTTGTGGGTATTTTTGGTTTAGAATATTTTTGGAAATATCAACTGGTAGTCTTGATTTGGGCAGGGAATATTCTGAACATAGCAATCATTTCCCAATAGTGGAAAAGAAACGTTTTTTTTACTCAGCTCTATTTGTGCCTGGTATTGTGACACATCTTTTAAAAGCCCCTCCTTTAGTGTTTGTCTGATCATTATGGCTGTTGACAGACATAGGGGAAAAAAACATGCTTTGCCAGAAGAAGCAGCATGTTAGATGAACCTGGCTCTGCAGCATCTGTATAGATTGGGCACTTCAGTGGGGCTTTTTGGAGCTTTTATCTAATAGCTGATTCAATCAGCTATTAGATAAAAACACCAAAAAACCCCGCTAAAGTGCCCAATCTATAAAGACATAGGGCAAGGCAGGTCCAAGTAATGAAATGCCTCTTCTGGGCGCTGGGCTTGGTATGGGAGCGTGCCAAGTTTAAAGTAAAGCACCTTTTTTCACATCTGCAAGCAACATATTGTTCAAATTCCAAAAATGGTAACCTTGAGTCTTATAGCATATGCATTTCAGCTGCTTACAGGGTACAAGACAGAACTTCTAAGGTCTCAATTATATTGCCCCAACAGTCCAATCATTGTTAGGCCCCCATAATGCCTTTACTGCATGTGTTCTAGGCCCCAGGTAACCACTGAAAGGCTTTTAAAGATCTCATTGAGCTAGTCCCAGATGGATATTCAACCTTCCAGATCCCCCTCTCACTCCTAAGAAAATGTGGCAACAAATGAAGATAAAAATCAGGGAACAAAAGCTATGTGGGAGAGCAAAGATATTCATATTTTCTTTTCTTGTTATAGCTTTTCCAGTGTGCAGAGCTATACTTGGGAACAAATGAAGAAAAATCTATGAAACATGAACTTATGTTGAACTGAGTTTGTCAGCTTCAGTTAAGACATATTATGTGACCATAGATACTGTGTGGACATATGGAAAGCAGACGGGGCACACAACTGACTTAAGTCAATGGTGATATTTTCATCAACTTCCAGGGTGTTCAAATCAGGTCCTACATTTAAAGCCACAGTAAACAATGAAACACTTTTGTAAAACATAGCTCTCGTGCATAAAGCTACAACACTGGAAAATGAAAGAAAAGGGTGGCTGTTGTGGTTTTCTGAACTTTTCCAAAAGTTGTTATCATACAATGTACATCAAAGCATGTATAGCTTTAGGGCTCACAGGAACCTACTCATACCATATTTAAGTCTAGCAAGTGAGGTAGGTTATGAAAGAAAACCAGTACCTTTGGGTTGAGTTTGGCAAGGTCATATCTTTTTTCAGAAAGGTTTAACACCTGTTTGGAAAGACAAGAGGAGAAGAAGAAAAAGAAGAATTAAACACTGATGTTTCATAATGTATGCGGTAAATCACTGTGTCAAAAATGTAATGAAATTAAATTATAGTGGTGGGCCTTCAGATTTGCTATTTGCTTTAGATAATTAAATTAGTATTTGAAGTTAGATAAGCTTAGCACTTGCAACATTCAAGACCTTTATTCAGGGCAAGTTCACTTAAGTACAAGAGGAAACTACAGATACTAATACCTATATATCTTAAATAAATGAAAAAAATTAAAATAAAACACCATTTGCTCTTACTGAGACCAAAGAGTGAGATTAAAAACACAATCTGTACATGCACCACAGTGGTACTGTATTCCATTTACTTTCCCTCAGATGTGATCAGATATTCATATTATGCAAAGCAGCTGCCCAGCATAATCAGATCTGTGAATGTGCCAGGTTCCTGACAGATTTACATACCTGACTTTAGGTTTTCAAGTTTGAAAACGTGGTCTATGTGACTCTAAACAGGAAGTATATGACAAAAGCAAATCTAGACCCAAGATTTCCCAGATCCTGTGTCTAACCTGCAAGATTTTACTGTTTCTGTGATTCAATCATATAGTTAAATCTGCTGGATCCCAAGCACTCAAGGAAATACATGGGAAATATATACAAGCATATTTCATGCATTTCACTTTTAAGCAGCATTTAGTAACATTAAATTATGGAAATATCGATGCTGAAGAAATAAAATTAATGTCATTAAGCCTGATTTATATTTAAACGTTATTCTTCTTATACCACCCTGCCAGTACAAGAGGCTTTACTATGAACATTAATTGCACTCTGCTACTTAAGTATCAAAACCATGAGCACCTTCTCTGAAATCATTTAATGCCTCTTAAAACTATACTTAAACTGTAAAAAAAAAAAAAAAAAAAAGCTTTT